CAAACAGTCAGCACATTCACGCCTTGGCACCCACGTCACTGTTGACAGTTACAATTTCGAGAAAGTAGAGAATTCCGTTTTTTGGGAACCAGCATCAACACCGATAATAATGTCAGCATGGAAATCCAACGCAGAATCACTCTTGCCAACAAGTGCTACCTTGGCCTGTCTTGGCTGCTGTCTTTGGACCGCTGGCTTGGTCATGTCGTTCGAATGGACATCGACGCTCCAGCTCTGAAAGTCTTCAACTCGGAACCCGCTGGTGGTAGCAGAGGAAGAGGGAGGCCCCAACTGCGATGGAAAGATCAGGTGGAGAAGGACTTGGCTTCACTTGGCGTTTCCAATTGGCGTCAGTTGGCACAGAGGAGAAACGACTGGCGTGCTTTGCTGAACTCGGCCAAAATCGCTTAGGCGGTTACAGCGCCAAAAAAGAAGAAGAAGATATTTTACCAAGCATTTGCCTGCGGCTGGAAAGTGTAGGAAGATTAATAAGTTTTAATCGGCTCGTATAAGGTGGAAGGTTATATTGAGAATCTCAACGAAAATTTCTTAAAGCAAAAAGTAGCAATTGTTTTTGAACGGATTCTATCTTGTCTGAGTAAATTTGATACCTTGATTTCCAAACCGCCGAACCGTATTCCAGTATTGGCCTAACAAATGTTTTAAATAGGGTTTTAGTGATATAAGGTTCACACAATTCTTTTGACCATCGTTTCACAAATGCTTTGTTGACTGTCACATTAATATGAAGAGTAAAATTAAGCTTAGGATCAATTGTGATACCAAGGTCCACAAAATTGTATACCTGTTCCAGGTTATGGTTACCTATTGTATAAGAAGCGGGATGAACAGCTCTTCGCGAGAAGCACATTACTTTACATTTCTTAAGATTTAGAGGCATAAGATTTACTTGACACCAGTAAGCCATGCTGTTTAAGTCCGATAGGAGCAAAGACCTTTCTTTAATTGAAACGTATGATTTATAAAGCTTTACATCATCTGCATACATTAAAATTTTGGAAAATTTTATATATGTAGAAATATCGTTTATAAAAAGCAAGAACAGAACCGGGCCTAGGTGGCTACCTTGAGGTATTCCTGAAGTAACATCAATGACGTCAGAGATAGTATCCATTTTAGACAGTTCTTCGTTAAGCTTTTTAAAGTTGGCTTTCGAAAAATCAAAGCGAATATTTGGTTCTATGCTTGGGTGCTGAAACTTTGACCATCAATTATAACCTCGTAAGATACCTCTGTAGCAGGGTGGTAGACATCTTCGGGCAAAACTAGTGGATCACGCTTATTTACAACGGACTTAGATGCATCATCAACAAAAACAAGATCTAATACTTTACCAAACTTATTGTGAAATACATTAACCTGAGTTAGGCAGAGTTCAGCCATCTCCTCTAAAAATACGTTGTTACACGCACTAGACGCTAAAGGTACGATATCATTGTCAATGATGTTCCATGATATGATTGGTAAATTAAAATCACCCAGCCAAATCATTGAATCACAGGGTTAAGTCAGTAAATTAACTGATTTCAGTAAAGAGATGAGTCGTGAATACACCAATGTGTCAGATCGGGGAGGGATATAGCATAGAGCTAAGTAAATAGACCCTTTTCCAGCCTGTACACGAATGCATTTGAATTCTACTGAATCAATGTGTGGAAGACTAACTTCTTCAGATGATATTGAAGAGTCTACAGCGAAGAGTACGCCACTGCCGATTCTGTCCTCCCTATCTTGTCTATATATACGATAATGATTTGGAAGAATCTCTGAATTGAAAATATGAGGTTTCATCCAAGTTTCAGTAAAAGAAAGAATATTATAATTAGATTTAAGGCCTTTAAGGTATAAGTTCGTTAATTTAGTATTTNACCTGTTCCAGGTTATGGTTACCTATTGTATAAGAAGTGGGATGAACAGCTCTTCGCGAGAAGCACATTACTTTACATTTCTTAAGATTTAGAGGCATAAGATTTACTTGACACCAGTAAGCCATGCTGTTTAAGTCCGATAGGAGCAAAGACCTTTCTTTAATTGAAACGTATGATTTATAAAGCTTTACATCATCTGCATACATTAAAATTTTGGAAAATTTTATATATGTAGAAATATCGTTTATAAAAAGCAAGAACAGAACCGGGCCTAGGTGGCTACCTTGAGGTATTCCTGAAGTAACATCAATGACGTCAGAGATAGTATCCATTTTAGACNTTTAATTGAAACGTACGATTTATAAAGCTTTACATCATCTGCATACATTAAAATTTTGGAAAATTGTATATCTGTAGAAATATCGTTTATAAAAAGCAAGAACAGAACCGGGCCTAGGTGGCTACCTTGAGGTATTCCTGAAGTAACATCAATGACGTCAGAGATAGTATCCATTTTAGACAGTTCTTCGTTAAGCTTTTTAAAGTTGGCTTTCGAAAAATCAAAGCGAATATTTGGTTCTATGCTTGGGTGCTGAAACTTTGACCATCAATTATAACCTCGTAAGATACCTCTGTAGCAGGGTGGTAGACATCTTCGGGCAAAACTAGTGGATCACGCTTATTTACAACGGACTTAGATGCATCATCAACAAAAACAAGATCTAATACTTTACCAAACTTATTGTGAAATACATTAACCTGAGTTAGGCAGAGTTCAGCCATCTCCTCTAAAAATACGTTGTTACACGCACTAGACGCTAAAGGTACGATATCATTGTCAATGATGTTCCATGATATGATTGGTAAATTAAAATCACCCAGCCAAATCATTGAATCACAGGGTTAAGTCAGTAAATTAACTGATTTCAGTAAAGAGATGAGTCGTGAATACACCAATGTGTCAGATCGGGGAGGGATATAGCATAGAGCTAAGTAAATAGACCCTTTTCCAGCCTGTACACGAATGCATTTGAATTCTACTGAATCAATGTGTGGAAGACTAACTTCTTCAGATGATATTGAAGAGTCTACAGCGAAGAGTACGCCACTGCCGATTCTGTCCTCCCTATCTTGTCTATATATACGATAATGATTTGGAAGAATCTCTGAATTGAAAATATGAGGTTTCATCCAAGTTTCAGTAAAAGAAAGAATATTATAATTAGATTTAAGGCCTTTAAGGTATAAGTTCGTTAATTTAGTATTTAAGCCTCTTACATTTTGGTAATAAATACTTAAAGCAGATTTAATAATTAGTTTTTTGATTCAGCGTTATGACGGGGAATATTAGCTAAGTTGTTTCCTTTTTTGGACCTATATTCGAATTCACGAACGAAAGCTCCGGGGGGCCAGAAAGATCTACTAAGCAGCGCATTAAAATTCTCTAAATTTACGTCAATTTTAAATGAAGCAATATTTCTTTCGTATTTTAAATTCAATTTTCTGATGCTTAGGTCGACAGTTGTACTTTTTGATGAGATATAAAGCTTTATATCGTCTTCGGTAGTGTCTCTCGAAAATCGGAAGTCGGAAGATTATTCTGACGTGCAACGGCAATAATTTCCTTAGATGGACTATGAAGACGCTTACGTTTAGACACACGGTTATCCTTAACAGATTGCAAGGCATCTAAGCATATAAATGATTTAAACACATTTTCATATGCTTAAATTTTTAGGTCAGCACCGACAATTCTCTTCCTATTTTCTGTAAAACCATTTCTGGTTTGCCTAAATAGCTTGAAAAGATCAACTTCGGTTGACCTGCACTTTACGCAAGACCAGCGAAGTCTCTTGCCATCATTAATAGTGTCCAGAATTCTTCCCGTCAAACCAGCACATTTCAGATGGTAAATACCATCACACAGCCAGCACGATAAGTAGCGTTCAGAATCGCTTTTAATTTGGCAAGTATCAAGATTGCACTTCATATTGAAAGATGTAAGTAATAACACTCGTTAATAAACAGACAAACAAATAAATTATAACAGTTAAGGAGCTGATGTAAATAGCTTTAAATAAATGTAGTGAACAGTTTGAGTATCACTGTAATTATGACACTTAATAAACGCAACGCAAACAGCTGTGACAAGAATTACTAGAAGAAGTAAACAGAAAGAGTAGAACAAATGTGCAAAAACAAAATGAATTCAGTTAACTACAAAGGATACAACAACAATGATAGCAACAAATGACTCGGCAAGATTAGAATGTATGCTAGTGAAATTAAATTAAATTTAGTTTAATATAAAACACAATAACTTTCACTTAGCTTCAATTATTTCACACTAAGATGCTCATAAGCACTTTTTATCACTACTTCAACTCGGAATTTGCACAATAAGCTTAACAAATAGAAAGCCAAAATCAGAGCACAATAAAGTACAACCTCACAGCTTGACGTTTGCAGATTGAGGACGAAAGAGTTGACCAAAGAAAATTTTACGCTTCAATGTCAAAAATACGCAAAAAACGTCGCAAGGAAAAAGTCATCGTGTAAATGCACGAGGATTTTCGAAGACTTTTTTAAAAGGGAACGTGCCAAAAACGCAGGGTGAAAAGTCGTCGTGTAAATTGGCTCTTAGTTACTCGACGCTTAGCGACTATGTTTCTCTTAACTATCCGCACTCTCAGTGAGAGGAATAGAAGTAAGCGTATTCGCTAGAAAACTTCACTGTGAAGCGAAATGCAGATGCAGACCTCTAATAACTATCGCCAATTTACCTGCTACTTGTGCCGCCTGAGCCATTGCCATTTGGTAAGAGTAAAGAAGTGGTGTAAATTGTATCATGTGCTGTGGATTAGCAGCTAATCCTTGACCTAAAGCTGCAAATTCGAAAGAAAAAATATTGTGGAATTTAACATCTGTAATAGAGCTAGCGAGTACCTCTACATACCTCGAAGAAGCTGCTGCTGAAAAGCTTGAAAAGCGGCGGCTTGAGCTGCTGAATTAGCGTTTCCAAGTCCACTAGCGGAAGGATTAGTAGTCCCAGCTGTTGATATATTCGCTAATCCTGCTAAAGCTGAGAAATTGCCAAGATTTCCCAAGCCGGTTATACTAGCAATGTTGTTTAAACTAGGCAAGCTGCCAAGCGCACTAAGTTGAGCAGCAGCAGCGGCCAGCGCTGCAGTAGTGTATTTGTCGTATTGTTGCTGCTGCTGTTGCACCTGTTCGCGGTCACGATGTTGTAATTGGCTTGTTGGATTTGTTGTGGGTTGTGAAGCTGGCTGTTGATTACGTGAAGAACGCGGTGTGGTAGATGGCGGAGGCGTGGGAGTTTGTTGGATACAGGGAGGCGGTGTAGGACGAGATGCTACACTGGGTGTAGGCGTATGACATTTTGTAGGAATAACAGTTACTGAAGGTGGCAAATTAGCAAGAGCACTCGGGGTATGCTGTTGCTGCTGGTGTAAATGCTGTAATGGTTGCTGTTGAAGCGAGGGTTGTGTTGACGGTGCCGAAGAACTCGAAGAACTGCGAACATCTACATGCGATGGAGTGCCTTGATTGGTTAGCCGCTGCTCAATTTCTTGTTCCTAAATAAATAAATAAAAATTATATTATTATCAGTCACCGACCAGTTCTCTTGCTGAGCGGACGTGTTATTTCTGCTCAGTGGCGGATACAGGGGAGGGGCGATAGGGGCGATCGCCCTTCCCCCCCCCCCCCCCCCCCCCCAAAGCTGGAAAAAATGTCGGTTNCCCCCCCCCCCCCCCCCCGAAGCTGGAAAAAATGTCGGTTAAAAAATATTACCTCAAACGAGAATTGAAAAAAAAATTTAAAAACTTGTTTGTTTTAATCTTCAATATCATAATCCTTGATTTAGGCTTGCATAAGATTATTTATAGAATAAGAAAGCATGTAAATCTCTTAAATTAAAAATTACAACAATGGGTATGCAAATACTATGAATTTATAGACCTTGTCACAACTTTACGGCATTTACATTTCGACAAGACTTGACCATTTGTCTTAATATATTTTCATTTCATTGTTTGTTTATAAAAATATAGTATAATCTTTAACAAAAACCATATTAATCCAAGCTTAAATCTCTGTGCAACGCTTTAGAAAATCACAAACTTACTAAAAGCTGTTTTTTAGCCCATTCAATTTTACCTCAAGTTAAAAGTAACTGATTTTTGGCATTTTTTTGTTGACCATGTTAGCTATTTTATTCCATGCAAAACATTTTCGACGATTTTTTTGTTATATGTGGAAAATGTACAACACCTTCGACGAAAAAAATTCCCAGAAATCAATGGTACTTGAAATTGGGCTACAAAACTGCATACTCAAAATGTTTCTAAAAAATCTTTAAAATAGCTAGAAATTTTTACAAAGATTGAAACTTGGATTTGTATGGTTTCTGTTAAAAATATGCTATTGCTTTAAAACACAATAATTAAAATTAATAATAATATTGAAATAAATGATGAAATCTTGCCAATATGTGAGTCTTTTAAAGTTATGATAAGAACTATATGTATGCATGTCGAATCAAACTTTTTGATACTACTTTTTGTCTATTCCCGCGGTGAATGTAGAAAATTTCACATTCAACTGTGTAACCAGAAATTCGTAGGGGGATAACAGCAAAATGCGTAGAAAAAGCGATTGCCGCGTTAGTTACCGATATCGCTAAGAAATTATACTATTTGGACATTGTCCTTCCTCGGAGAGCAGATAGATGAAATTTGGCAAATTATCGTGCGTCTAGCGCCGATGATTATTATCAAAATGTAATATTTATACCGCTGTTGCATAATATTTAGCTCGATCTCCGAGAAAGATTGCCCAAAAATATACATTACATAAACATTTTTGAGTTGAACTATTACTTCCATACATATAAAATTGGGGAATATAACAAGATACAAAAAGGCGCTATCAGTTTGGAAGGAGAGTATAAAGTGTGGTCAGAACGATGAACAAATGAGGTAAGCGAAAAGCCATACCTAACATCAGCAGCAGAAGTTCTTGCTAAATGGGACGGCGAATATGCTTTTCCGTTGATTAACAAACTTCTCCGCATTCTGACTACACTTCTAGCTAATAACGCTACTTCAGATAGAAGTTACCCTTCGCCTGTTAAAAACATGGTTCCATAGTACTATGAATGAAAAAATACTGATAGGTCTAAGACTTTTACACGTACACTTAGGGCCAATTTTTCAGTGCACGGTCGTGGTTTAAATTTAGTTTAAACGCCCAAGCTGGCTGCTTTAAACTAAAATTAGCAAATCAAATGTCAGTCAGCTGTTCATTTTAAATTAACTGCCACTGAAACTGGTCCTTAGATATTGAAATTGGAACTAAACGGATAATACAAAGATTCCCAAAAGGAAAGCGCAAAATTGAGTTTGCAATTTAAATTATTATAATCAAAATTCCGAATAAGTTGTTAAGTTACTTAATTACATCCCTCATTTGACAAACATTATAAGCAAAAAATAAGTATTTATGTAATACTAGCCGGCCGCGGATGCGCGAGGCTTCGCCACGCCCTTAATGTATGCATATGAATGTACATTTACGTATTTGGAGAAAGAAATCATATTTCAACATGTACTTCGTTTATTATATACATAAAAATCTTGTCTAAATCCGTTCAGTAGCGTGGTTAAAATATCTCGCCTTTCCTTTATACTATGTATAGAAGATAGCAATTTTAAATAGATACATGCGACGGCCATGCACTTTCATTTGGTATCTCATTTTTTATCCAACGAACGGAGAAGATCTTATAGTTTTTAAACAGGTGTCAACCCTACTCAGAAAAATAATTCATTATTACACATCCAGGGGCTAAGAATTTTCATTTGACAGTGACGGTGCAGAACTGACGCTTATTATAATTGAATATAGTAATTTTCTCAACATGTAGCAACCCTATTAAAATTCTAAGTTAAAAAGGTCACTCTCCTATCGATAGAGAATATATTAGATAAAATCTCGTCGAAATGCGTTCAGCAGTTTTCGAGATTCCCGCGTATAAAAAATCTCGACTTTCCTTTATACTATGTATAGATGCACAAATATATACTGATTTAATAAACCCATAGCATAACTTTCATAAAAATTACTAGAACCTCTTTTTGCGTAAATATTAAATGAGGGTTCAACGAGAGTGGATGCTTGTAGGTGATATAGCTTCGATTGGTCACTCCGCTGTGAATCAAGTTAGATGGCTGTACTTTAACATTATTCGACAAGTCGATCCCAATCGCCCCTCCCCAAATAAAATCCTGTATCCGCCACTGGCTCTGCTAGCCTCTGATTCCCCGCCTAAAAGAAAATAGTTAAAAAGAATTTCGAACCCTTCCCAAATCTTCCTAAAATCGAAACAGCAATCCTAAATACGTAGCAATCTCTGCGGTAGATGAAAACAAACCTTTAAACAAGTTAAATAAAAGCTTATAAAAATTACGGCTGTTTTGCCATCCATGCCTCTTTAAAATTAATAAGCAAGTAAATCGTCAAAATTACTAAATTCCGAGATGGCAGTCTTTGCCTATTATTGAAGGACAAACCAACAGCTGAAACCTTTATACATACGTACGATATTTTTACATGGTGTTTGTGAAGTGAAAGCTACATATCACGATACGCTCAACCATACGAAAGGTACTATATAAGCTCCATGTTTAAATGATCATAATGAAGAAGAGATTGTGAAAACCTTGTCTGATCAAGGTGTCGTTGAAGTATACAAGTTTTCTAAAGTTGTGAATAGGAAACCAAAGCATCCTGGAGTATGTCTTCTGCAACCTCCCCCACATTCACCCGACACATGCTCCCGAACGATGTCCACAAAATGCGCGGGAGATCACCCGGCTTTTGACAAGTTTTGTCCAAAGTATCAGTAATCAAAAGAGATCTTAAAAATACAAGTGGAAAACAAATGTACAATGAAACAAGTAAGAAAGTATAAGTTCGGGCGGAGCCGAACATTAAATACCCGGCGCAAGTATTATATATATGTTTTTCACATTTCCGGCTAACTGTGCCAAGCTTTGAAAGAATTGGTGGAGCGGTTACCAAGATATACACATGTAACCATAAGTGGGAGCGGCTACGCCCATTTTCCAAAAAATTATAATATTCTTATTTTCGTCTAAAAACTATTGTAAATATCAATTTTGAGTGAATAATCTTCAGTTGTTACTAAAATATCGCATTTTCGTATTCCAGAAAATTACCGTTATATGGGAGGCAGGCGTGGTTATTGTCCGATTTTGCCCCTTTTCAATACCATCCGTCCTACGCCGAAAGAAGTGCACGTACAAAGTTTCGTTAAGATATCTAAAGTTTTACTCGAGTTATCGTGTGCAGAGACGGATGGACGGACGGACAGACAGTCACCGCTTAACCGATTTCACTTTTCATTCTGATCATTTATGTATACATTTGTCTAAATATATCTCGATTCGTTTTGCCTGTTACAAACAACCGTTATGTGAACAAAGTTATAATACCCTTGTGCACAAGTGCGCTCGGGTATAAAAAGCAATCACACTTTACAGAAACCCAATTCCCTCAATAATAGGTGGCTCTTTTTTTGCAATCGTCAAATCAATCAATAACCAACAACAAAGTTTACTCTAGTATCCCATGACTATTCCAAAACAAATAACTTCACTCCAGTCGTAACGCTACAACTAAACTCAAACTTAGCAAACAATTCTCATCAACAAAACACAGCACAAAACATAAACGACGATAATTCGCTCAGTAACATTCTCACTCAAATAATTACTAATCAACAACATACAGTTAATACAGCTTCCTTCTTCACCAACGAAAATAATTTTCAACAATCAAATACATACTTCCAAAACAAATAACAACGATAACGAATTCTCTATTTACTCTACAATTTATAACATGCCATCTCTCCCAGTTGAGCAAGAAAATTACATTAACATGGAACATATAACCAAACAAACTTACTTTTACTTCATTATCAGCCACTTATTACTCATTTCTATTGCACATAAAAATACTACCTTCACAATGATCTCTGTACTGCAATTGAACATAAACGGGTACTTTAATAATTATAATGAATTACAGTTGCTAATAAAAGAACTAAATCCTTCCCTCTTGTACTTACAAGAAACTCATATCCGTCATAATATGAAACCGTATCCTCCGAGACGATACTTTTTCAATTCCCCCGAAAACCAATATGGTTAGCAAGGTGTTGCCATTGCCATACTAATTAAAAGAGGAATTCCTCACAAAATTCTCTTAAATGACGATGATCTTCTCAGTATTGCTATAGAGATCTTACGCAACCCAAAACTAATAATACATACATACCACATATACAAATAAACAGTTTTCGTGCACACACATCTTTGTAATCTTAAATAAGGCAATAGGGTCGATGCTTTGATTGGAGCCCTGTTTGAGGTTCTCCATTTGTTAACGATAGAGGAGCTAAAGTTGAAAATGCCTTGTTATCTACTGATCTGGTTACACTAAACGATGGTAGCCCCACTCTCTCTTCTCAACACACCAATCTTTCACG